GCTTCTGCTGGAATACAACAATATCAACTCAAACTCGGAGGACAGTGGGGGCCAGACGCCGTTATGGAGGGCGGCAGACGGAGGGCATGAGGCGGTAGTGAAGCTACTGTTGAGACACAGCGATATCAACCCAAACCCGAAGGATAGCGGGGGCCGGACGCCGCTATGGAGGGCGGCAGATAGAGGGGATAGGATGGTGGTCAAGCTACTGCTGGAACACAACGATATCAACCCAAACTCGGAGGATAGTAGCGACCAGACACCACTATGGAGGGCGGCAGACAGAGGGCATGAAGCGGTGGTGAAGCTACTGCTGGAACGCAAAGATGTCAACGCCGAACCCAAAAATAGTAGCGGCCAGACGCCGCTATGGAGGGCGGCAGACAGAGGACATGAGGCGGTGGTGAAGCTACTGTTGGAACACAGTGATGTCAACCCAAACCCGAAGGATAGCAAGGGCCGGACGCCGCTATGGATGGCGGCAAATAGAGGGGATAGGATGATGGTCAAGCTACTACTGGAACACAACGATATCAACCCAAACTCGGAGGATAGTAGCGGCCAGACGCCACTATGGAGAGCGGTGGATGGGGGGCTTGAGGCGATGATGAAGCTGCTGCTAGAACGCAACGATGTCAACGCTGGCTCGAGAGATAACTACGGTTGGACTGCTCTTCACCAGGCAGCAAAGAATGGCCATGCTGTGATGGTGGATCGACTGGTGGATCGACTGGTGGAACTCGGGGTTGATCCAAAGGAGAGATCGAATGACGGCTGGAATCCTCTTCATCTAGCAGCAGAGAATGGCCATGTTGTGATGGTGGATCGACTGGTGGAATTCGGGGTTGATCCAAAGCAGAGATCGAACGACGGCTGGACTCCTCTTCACCAGGCAGCCCTTAAGGGACATGTGGCGATGGTGGATCGACTGGTGGAACTCGGGGTTGATCCAAGGGAAAGATCGAATGACGGCTGGACTCCTCTTCGCCTAGCAGCACAGAATGGCCATGTTGCGATGGTGGATCGACTGGTGGAACTCGGGGTTGATCCAAAGGAGAGATCGAACGACGGGTGGACTCTTCTTCACCAGGCAGCAACTCAAGGACATGTGGCGATGGTGGATCGATTGGTGGAACTCGGGGTTGACCCAAAGGAGAGATCGAATGACGGCTGGACTCCTCTTCACATGGCAGCACAGAATGGCCATGTTGCGATGGTGGATCGACTGGTGGAGCTCGGGGTTGATCTAAAAGAGAAATCAAACGGCGGCTGGACTGCT